AATCTCTCGGTCGCGTGAGTAAAGTCTGTTTCGCCTCGTAGCATATATCGATAGCTTGATAGTCATATGACAAGAGATAAGTCAATAGCTTGAAATCTAAACTTCCAACTTCTTAGGAAATGAAATTTTTGCATTATGTGTTTCTAAGAATACTAATGAAATTTCTTTAAATTATTTTAAGACTTGTTATCTTGTCCATGAATTTCGTGAGAGTAGTTGCTAGAGCCGCAAGGGGATAGGACTTCTATTTCCACCCGAGTTTTGAAGAAGAGCGCCCAGGGGGGTTAGAGAGTCATCCACCCCTTTCCCTTACCAACAATCCACACGAGAGGACTTCCGGCTCGCCATATAGTTCGAGTGCCCCCATGCCGCAAAGACAGTATACATTTACAAACATCCATGCCTTCTCCATCATTCGGCCCGGCCCCTTCGGTACCGCAGTAGGCTTCCCTTGGAATTCGTTCTCGCAGCCCTATCGTCAGCAGCATTAGAGACATTCAAACCCACATACCTGCTTCGCAAAGACCCTCACTCATCTGGGTGCCTGCTTATACGGGAATAGAAGGAAATGAGAGAGCAGATGTTGTCGCAAAGGAAGCAGCGAATTCATCCACTATGCGAGAAGTCCCGACCCTTAGGCCAGTCTCGGACCTAAATAGTCGGGCATTCCATCAGCTCCTAAGATTATGGCAAGAACCATGGCAAGAACGTTGGGATCAAGCCTCCACAGGGAGACGTGTATACAATCTCATTCCCAAGGTCAAGACAACAATCCAAACTAATAGCAGTTACATGACGTATTTCCTCACTGGTCACGGGCCCTTCCCTTCATACTTCAGCCGCTTTGGCTTGAGAGGGAATGGTAACTGTCATGGAGGTATGGTAACTGTGAATGTGGGGAGGAGGATCATCCAGACCATTTTGTGTTCTCCTGCCCACACACAGCACTTAACACCCTCAAGGAACCAGGAGCCAGATTCTGGCCAAATTGGTTCCAGAATCTACTAAGTAACAGAGTTGCCCAGCGGAAACTGAAAACAATAATTGACTACTGTACTAGCAATTACTCTTCTGACGCTGGAAGATAATAGCCATAAAGTACAAAACTTGGTGGTCTAACACACATTAGGTTCTAACAATGCCATTTTCTAAGCACATTCTCTAATTAGACATCGCCCTCAGTATGACATTAACTCTCTTGAACTGGCACGTTTATAACCTGACGATAAATTACTTGCTCTGCAGAGCATAGCAGTATGCACGTTAGACTGTATAAGCTAGTTCAATATTCACAACAGAGTATGTGATATGTATGTTCAATATGTAATTTGTATTTATTCTGTGCCATTTCATACAAAAAATTTTTACTGTATGAATGCTGTACTAATGTACATGTTTTATCTTGTTAATGGTACTTTACTAAGGATCACGCGTACCTCAATGGCATGCTTCATGTAAACTTTAACTATCATGATAACGTATATATATATATATATTTTTATAGACCTATATATGAATATAAGTGAGAGTATGTATACTTACCTGGGTCGGAAGCCAACTCAGCGGTTTACTCCCCTAACCATTATACCGCCTGGGCGTCATTTCAAGACTTGAAAATTAGAATGCATACTTAAGGGCCAGCACGCAATCCCTGATGACAAGCAGAAAATGGATGCGTGTTAAGCCACCCCTGGTATTTTGGTGTCGATAAAAAATTTTAATGGCTTCTGGAACAGCCAATTTGTATTTAATTTTTATTATAATATTAGCTGCTCTCAAGAGCATGGAAAATCAGAATATTATTTCGAATGCATCCAGGAAGGAAAATTAATGATGAATGAATTAATTAATAATATCGCTGTTTTTTATATACAAGATGTTAACTGTTTTCGTAGCTTGGATTAAGAGTTTCCACTGGAGCGATTGCACACTGTTTAAAAAGAATCCACAGAATTTCCGTCCATTCTGCGGCATATTCCGAACTTTAATCTGCTTCCCTCCCTACAAAAACCAAACAATCATATTCCGAACAACCCTAGAATTTTCACGACTGTATTAAATACATAATCATTTGCATAAAATCGCCTGTCGGCGGTGCTACCATTTGCAGGGACGGGATAATATAAAAGTATCGGATCTCTTAAATAACAGAAGGAACTTTTTGTATGCAGGAACTTCATATCCGAGTTGACTGCGCTATGAAAATATTATGTATTGCATATAGAACAGAAGAAGACTCATGTGTTTAAAAATGAAAAATCACTGAAATCAAAATAATAATAATAATATTTGAGTGTACTTAACGTATATTATTTTTGATTTGAAACTGCGTGACGGTCTCGTTCCATTATGAATGTGAATGTAATGTAGTATTTGTTTCAGATTTAAACTGTTTCGTATTTCAGCTGTCGTACCTAAACTGCAAACGGTATTTAAATTACTAATAAATTGTCAAATCTGGAGTGTTGAGATGGAATTTTAGGCGGTTGTTTGCAGCAGAAGTGTGTGGTAAGAAACGCTGTGTATAATTTTCATGTAATATTCAAATATTCCGTTCGCTTCGTGATTTATCTTAACTTGCCAATGAGCACTTTTTAAGAGGTATCTTTAGTGTTGATGCTTTCCGTACCACAATTTTTAATTAAAAAATGAATTTTAATTATTACCCGTAGTTTTTTGTTGTTGTCTGTGTAGTTAAAAGGCATTAATATATTACGGTTATTTGAAACGTAATTATTTTTACAATTTTTCCTTCTTGCTGTTAAGTGTTTTTGCTTTTTTTGTTAACTTAAAAATTTAAATATTGGTTTTATCCCAATATTCCTGAATTTTTTTCATCAGATATTATATTTATGGGATTAAACTCGTAATTAATTTTAAACTTTTGATGTAAAAAATTTTGTCCATTTTATTCTTAAGAAAATGTAAACTTGTTATATTTTCATATTGCAAGATTGTTTAAGATTGCTTTTATTTTGATTTTAAATGTTAAATACCGATTTTTTACTTTGCCTTAAAAATACTTAGAAAGTTTTAGGATCGTAGTATACGTTATTCTGTTAGTTTTGCAATTTCCTTCTGGTTGGTATAAGTAATGGTATAAGGTATTTCTCCCGCCTTCTTAGGGTGCCTTCGTGGTGTAATGGTCAGCACAGTGGGCCGGTATTCCAGAGGTCCGTGGTTCGATTCCCGGCCAAGGCTAATTTTTCATCTCTCTTGCTCCAAAAACACCTGATGTCTGTACAATGGAATCCCAATTCAACCACATTGCTGGGGAGGGGATAACAAAACATCATCTGTGTTATTTTGGCCTTCGTTTTGAAAATAACGTTTAATAAATAAATGCCATTACAATAAAAGCTTGGTCTTACTTATAATGTATTAAATATAACTTATTAAGTAAATTATAAATTAATGCTAAGTTAATTTATATAGCGCATTAGAAATTAAGCACTTGTTAAAAATTCTTATTTATAATTTTAGTATTTTAAAAGTAGAGAAGTAAATAAGTGCCTAGAATTTGCTGTTAAATGTTAAAGAAGCCCGTACTTTATTACTTTAAAGTAAATCTCATAGTAAATGGATTTTGCTTTTGCTAATACCACTCTTTCCTACATAATTTTATGTTCACTTAAGTTGATTAGTTGCATGAGAATGCTCATATAAGAAAAGCTTATTCCTTTAGTAAAGAGGTTTATAGACCTCGTTGTGGGTCCTCACTCATTTGTTTTATTTAGGTGTGTAATGATCCTGTGTTCTCAGGGCTTAATTTCTAAAATTAGAAATGCCGGAGCCCTATGTAAGGTCGTCAGGAAAGAGGAACAAAAGTAAATAAATAAATAAAATGGCCATTAAAATCATTAATAATTTAAAAATTAAATAGTTAAGTATTTCCAGATTAATTAATAATTATTTAAGTAGTATTTGTATTGTTATGTAATTAATAATTTTTGTTCAATTAATTCATTATTCTTTAAAATTATTAAAGTAATTAAATGATTAAAATTAAATGTACAGAGATAAATTAAAATTTAATAAGCGACTTTTAATATAATTTTACTGCTTACTTAAATAAAATGCTTTACTTAAATAAAATTTTCGATATCAGATTTCTGCTGAAATAGTTGTTCAGTTACATAGAAATGCCGGACCTTTCTTATTTAGGGCTCCGGTGCGCTTCGTCTAGAATTATGATTTATCCCAAAAACTAAGAAGCCTCCGGCGCAATTTAAGCCCTGTGTGTTCTGAAACGTTAACCTAGGTGCTCTAAAAGTAACGGTTCGCTTCTGTCGTCTGCCCCGTCCTTTCGGCGTCTTGTTCTTTTTTGTAGAAAATGACCCCTTCATTGTTCTAAGAAATGCTAATGACCTGTCGATAACAGGCGCTGAATTTGGAATCGTATTTGGATACGGCGATCTTCGTTTTCGTTGCGCAGGTAGGCCGTTTAGCAAAAGGGTGGTGTTTCTTAGGGATGCTTCTCAGTAACTATTGTGTTAATTGTGACCTTTTAAAGAAAGTGCTGCTACTCCCTGCATAAAAACAGCTGAGGAGGAGCCTCTTTTCCTACCTCAGCTGAGAAAGCGAGTGTGTGCCCCGCGCTCCAAACAGGTTTGTCCGCTCGGTTGCCGTCTACCTGTACATCAAGGTTCTCCGAGCAAGGAATGTGTGATGCAAGCAGACAGCGTGCACTGGACCACCCGTTTCTCTCTGCATACTACGAACGACTCGAATTCGAGACTGAATTTTACGTGTATCCCGGAATTGGGGTGAACTCCACTGTCTCGTCGGGATGGTGAGCTGAGGAGTTACGTCCGGCCGTTTAAGGACCCCGGATTCGGAAAGAAAAGTCACAGGTGGGGATCTATTATTCTGTGTCTCGCTCCATTTGCTTGGGAAACTATTATGGGTAATCAGCACTCCGAACTGCGAGAGAAACCTGCCAGAAAGCGAATGGGTGAGTGATCTGGTGCCGCCAGGTACCAAATCTTTCTCGGTGGCTGTTTTGTTGTGCCTAATTCTCATGCCTTCCGCTCTCAACGCTTCACATTTTTTCCCTTCCTTTCCCCTTTGATATCGGAATCTTTTTCGAGTGTGTGAGACTGCGCTTTATATCGTAAACAAGCCGCGGGAGTTAAGCTTGTGCATGCGTAATGAGTCCGAGCCTTGAGCGTAGGTCGAATGCTATGCCTGCTAACGAAGGTCGGCCGACTACCCATCGCGAATGGAAATGTTGCTGGAAGTTAAAAAAAATAATTAAAAAAATGGTATTTTCGTGTCATTTCTCATTGGGACATTCTTCACCAATTAAAACCTGGCTTCTTAGCAGTTGCCCAAATTTTCACCCATCCTGGCAACAGCTTCCAGCAAAATTTATTGTGTAATTAGCAGATGAGGAACGAAGAGTTCAACTTGCCTGGAGTAGGTAATTTTTTGTCATTTATTTTGATGTTATTTCTAGGTAGTTGTTTTGAATTATTATATGGCTGCATATTTGAGCAAGTGAAGTTTGAGTAATCTGGCATAAATATAGGGTAGTTAGTTACTCAGAGCTCCACCCTAATATGTGAAAATGTGTTTCCATTAAAAAGTGATTTTTATGACTTGCAGGTGTCAATTTAATATTATTTGTCATGTAATCGTTCACAGATTGGATACAGGAACTAAAATGTAAAAGCATATTGGTACAGTTTTCATTTATTTTGCTGAAGTATTTGTGTAATTATTAAGTTTTCTCATCATTTAAAATCTACACCCCTTTTTTTTAATATTTTGTTGCAAAAATGTTTGTCATGGTGTTAAGAAAATTCATTTTGATTTAAGACCTAAATACTTCAAAATGCATTTTTCAATTGTAATTGAATTTATTACCATTCAAATAAAATTTCATAAATTATTATTTGCTATATTTTTATTTCTGTAATTCTGAATCAGGTAGTTTATCTATAATGAAATTGGCATCAAATGGCATTTTTTATTCATACTCAGCTTATCTCTGTTTACTTTTCTCTTTCCAGTAATGGATCGTCTCAGAAGAAGCTTACGTGATAGTTTTCGTAAAAAAAAGGACCACATTCCAGAATGTAGTAAACCCCACCAGTGGCAAGCAGATGAGGCTGCAGTCCGTGCTGGTACATGCAGCTTTCCTGTTAAGGTATGTGGTTTTTAATGTAATGTATAACCATCTTTATAATCACTGATGAACTTTAAACTTTTATGCGTTGAAAGGGGTTAAAAATTGTTTTCCTAAACTTTATCTGATAAAAAGAATATCTGTGTAGGTGGTGTGTTTGAGAACATGGCTGAATTTTTATCTAGTCTAAGCTTTTATCCTGGTATCTTTTTACTAAGTATTTGTATTTGATAAGCTGTGTTAAGTTTATTTTAAATTACTCTTTTTTAATTGAAAACTGTCATGTTAGGATAATAGTTTCTGCATGAATATTATTACTTCAGAATACTTTTATAACAAGACGGTATTGTGACTAACGTGAACATATGTATAATAAAATTATTTATTTTATTATTTTAACAATACACTTTTTTTAATCCGGAATTTCTTGTTAAAATATTTTAAATAATTTTTGGAAAATTTATTCAACTACTTTTTTTGCTTTATGTTTTATGAGGTTATTTATGAAAGCATATCAGATGTATTAAATTACATAATTAACATGTATGAATCTCGTGGATTATTGAAACCTTTCATGTGTATAATATTTACATGTGATTCTTTTCTACACATAAATCCTGCATTTAAAAGATTAGTTGGTATAGTTACACAAGAGGAACAAGGAAAAGAAAACTTTTTACCTGTATCTCCATATCATGTTTTATGGAATTATATGAATCATTTTTTTGCAATTTTCTCTTAAATAAAGCTGATTTGCTAACATACCAAAATCTTAAATATATCAGTTTCCCAAATTTGGGTCCGGCATGCTTGTGTGTTAATAAATCTAACCTATAAATTTGGTACTGATATTATAATTAGGCCATATTACTATGATATTTCTCCCCCCCCCCCCCCCATTTTTTTTTTTTTTTTTTTTTTTTTAAGCTTATGATTTAAAAACTTCTGGTTTGTGGTAACAGTAGATAGTGTATGCACAAATAGGAAAGTATTTTCTGTAAGTAAAAGGAATGTTCCTGGAATTAATATCTCTTTGAAATATATAGTATAGTAATATTAATATCTACGTTCATTATTTAAGCCATCTTATTCAGAAATAGTATACACTGCATATTTCTCTGCTTCTGGTTTTTACAAGGGTAAGAATTACTAGGAAAAGGTAGGGGAAATACATGACTAGTTATGGTATTAAATGTGTTTTTATGAGTGTTATCTGCATTTAAAAAAATGATAAATTGAGAACTTCAAATGCATTTTTCATAGCTTTAAACTATTGAAATTCTCACTAACCCAGCTGGATGCTGTCAGCTTATGGTGGTTTTGAATTTTTGGTGATATAAAATCTTTTGAAATGCCTCTAAATATGTAAATTTGCTACCAATTTAATCAAAAAAAAAAAAAAAAAAAGAATTAGAATTGAATTCAAAACAACATTTTAAAACTTAACAATATTTACAGTGATATATTACACAAGTGTTTAGAATGACACACTCATGAAATAGTATTTCAGCTTTACAAATTTATCAGATTTTTTTTTAAATCTAAAAACAAAAATTAAACATTATAGAAAATTAAAATTTTTTCTATTGTATGATTTCTTTTTCTGCTTAAAAACTGAAATAGAAATTTGCATTGACTCTGTAGAGAATGAAGGGTTTTAAAAACTGAATAATAATAAACTTCTAGCTGTTTTCGAGCCCACCAGCAGCTGACCGGTAAAGTCACTGAACACTGGTAGTTCAGTCTGAGGTTCAAATCCCTTGAACGAGCTGGTTGCACGGTTGTTTTTGTGGTCTTTCCCATGTGTAAAATGTATACTAACCAGTCGCCTTAGAAAGTCCTCCACGAAGGCATCCTTCCTCTTAGGCAGATAGCCCTCGAGGCTTTGCCGCAATCACATAAAACCAATCTAGCTGTTTTAATTTAGGAATATTTAAATATTTAAAATATGGCAAAACTTGGGACATGACGGTTGGCAATATATGGGTTACTGCTACAACTTTCTGTGGTTAGCACATGAAGTGAAGTGTGGTAGCTAAATATGGTGTAACTAACTTGTATTTTTTTTTAAATCTTTATTAATTTTATCCCTTGAAAAATGAGAGGTGAAAATTATTCATGTATATTATTCCTAATGGGGAAGGCTTAGATTAAGCCTCATTAAAAGCGCATGTTAATAAATCTAATGTTATTGCATTATATTTTTCTAAGAAGTCATTTCAATAGTATCCACCTAGATGCATCTTTTTTCAATTTACATCTCTGTGCATACTTTTTATATTATAAATTAGATGTTTCTAAAGCATATGCTGAGAAAGAGTGAAATGCAAAAGGGGAGAAATATACAGCTAGATATGGTATATATGATCCTTCAAAATATGAAGACCCCCAATTTCAAATCCTGCTACCATTAGCCAAATCTCTACAGAGTCAGTGTGCATTCTGAATGTGTATGGACTCTCTATTTATTGAAAGCAAATTTTCATTATATCAGGCTAAATTAATTATAATAAATATATTATGCTAAATTTCAACCGAATTATAAATTCAAGAAGGGAAGAGACGGAAAAATTAAAATAATTAAAAAAATTTCGAGCCTTCCAGTGTAATAAAATGTAATAATTTATTTAATTAATAACAGTTTAACTGCTACACAGCTGAAAGATACTCATTGATATCATTAAAGGTATATTAGAAACTTTATAATTTATGTAATATATGTAAATAACATGCTGTGTATAATTAATATAATTTGTTTTAGTATCTTGGATGTGTAGAAGTGTTTGAGTCTAGAGGGATGCAAGTATGTGAAGAAGCATTAAAGGTTTTAAGGGTAAGAATTATGTTTATATTTCTCCAAAAAATATGAAAATAAAATTATAAGGTATAAACTCTTAACATGAATTTTAAATAATTACCTAGAATATTTATACCTAGCTGCTAGTTGGCTAGCTGTTCCCTTTGCCCTGGCAGAAGGTGGGATATTTTCTAAGCAAGTGGATGGTGTAGCAAAGGAAATGTGATAAGCAGTTCATGGAAGTAAAATGACTAAATTTATAATAATTTATTAGTGTTTAAATTTATTGGTTAGTCCTGTAGCTCTTCTTTGCTTTTATGGTGTAAATGGTTAACACTTCAGATTTGTAAATTAGAGATTCCTTGTTTCAAATCCAGACAGGGGCACAGTTCATTTTTCATATGTCCTGGTTTGAACTGTTCAATGGTCTCTGCAATATAAATGGCAGTAGAATAGAATGGTATTACCAAAGAGCTGAATATTTAGAACAATATAACTTTCCATTCAGTTCATATAGTACATCCTGTTAGTGCAGTGGAAATGTAAATATAGAATTCTTGTTAACAGTTTTATCCAGTGAAAAGAGCATGGAAATTTTTTGAGAATTGAATTATTTTTTTAAAAAATTTTTATTTTCCTAGAAAAAATCATGTTTGATAAGTATTAGAAGTAATACAGTTATATTAAAAGTAACACTTGCTCTTTTCTGCATTGAGTATGTCAATAAAGAAATAATTCATGCTGAATATTAAATACCACATGTACTGTAATTCTAATAAAGGTCTTGACTTTTCATGGTGTTTTAAACAATTCTGAGATATGTGCATCTTTTCAGAAGTTTTAGTGGGCTTTAATTATATGGGCTAACAAGATATTGCCAATCCTTTGAAAAGCTTAATTTTCTTCAAATTGTTGCAATACATTGCATGTAACAAACTTAGACCCTTAAAAGCTATATGTATATATATAATATATATATATCTTAATAATTTTCCCTCTACTCTGTTCTTAACAATATTTCTGTCTGAAATAATTTATAATATGTTTAATTGATAAAATTTACAAGCATGTATGCCATTTGCATAAGTTGTTTCTTTAACTTCATAGATTTTTTTATTCTGCTTTATGCAGTTTTGTATACTGTATAAGTTATTAAATAATTGCTTGTCTGGCTGTATGTTTGATTTTTTTTAAATTTAAATATTTCATAATATAATCTGTATTTGAATTTCTTTTTTCCCTTTTTAATATGTGTTCTCAACTCATTCTCATAGCTGTAATGTTTCATCCCAAAATTTCAAGCATTTAATCCTACATACTGCATCTTTGAAGATGTTAAAAATTGTCTTACTTATTATTATTAGCATGTTGGCAGCCAATTCTATTTTGAAAATATGTGGTCTGGATGTCAACATGTAAAATTAAATTTGTAACATTATAGAAATAACTATTTTATAAACTTTAAACTGCTGTAAAACTTTAAAGAACCAAAACAAACTGAATTTTGTTATATAAAGAGCATATCTCCAATAGCAGGCAGAAAAGCAGGTTGCTGTGCTTGCATTACCCAAAAGAGATGTTGAGAAGCACAATACTTTTCACCAGCATGTAAAGATAAAGTAGTCTCTCTTATGCACTGAACAATGTTTTACAGCTCATCATAATTAAAAATTTCTGTTACAGTAGTGTTTAGTGTCTTTTTTAATATTTTGGAAATCTTGTGTACAAACTAAATAAATTGTGGTATCTTCTAACAAACCTTTAATAAATGCCCAGCTCACAAAATTCCTATCACTTTATTAACTCATTGTGGGCACTATAAAGAAAGCTATTTTGCAAAAGAGAAATAACTGATGGTGACATCTACCAGACGGTCTGCCAATCACCAGTTATCTCGTAGCTGGCAATCAGTACTTTACATGTGTTGCATCTGCAATGTTGTTTTAATTTATGTTATATATATATATATATATGCACATGAGAATAAAACTGATTCCTTAAAATTTATTTTGCAGAATTCTCGACGTAGAATCATAAAAGGCACTCTGTATGTCACAGGCGATGGATTACGTGTTGTGGATGATGAAACAAAGGTTTGTGCTTTCTTAACTTTATGCTTTTTTTATTTGAATGATTATGTGTTTGTCCCGTATACATTCCTAAACCATTAATCCAATTGCAGCGAAACTTTGGTGAGTTGTTGTTTGCACACTCACCAAGGTTTCTGAATTAGTACAACCATTTTACAAAAGGTAGTGCCCAAGTTCTTAGGTAGTTTAATGGTAGTTCATGTGTTTTCTGCATATGAATGCACATGTTGGCAGAATTGAGTCAAATAAAAACAGTGACATTTCGATTCCTGGTTCACACACAGTTAATAATGATAACGCATGCGTTTCTTTTGCTTCTTCCAAGTGAATTTGTAATAGTCATCACAAAATATTACTTTCACTATCAAATGGATTATGCCACCAAAACAAAAAGCCATTAATCTGTCTTCACCTCAAGCATGAAAGAAAAAGCTTCACAAGCTTCAGATACAAATGATATAGCAACTCTTTTAAATGACGGGCAAGCATCACATCAGCATTGCTATTCAATATGCAGATCAGTGAGACACCAACATGCATTATTAACTAAAATTCTGGAATGCATAAAATACTCCAGTCATGTCATCTCATTATATGGGGTGAATGTACTGTCGCCCACAAGAAAGAATTGGAAGCACTTCATCGTACACTGAACGATTTAAGAGGAAATTAATAGTGTTTTGTTAGTGTAGTCATTTTATTGTCTGGTGATTTTTGGTAAACATTAGGAATTTTATCACATTTCACACCCACTGATGAACTTAATGCATGTCTCAAATCAGCAGCTTTATAGCAGCACATAACGAAATTAAAAATGAGTATGTATGTACAACATGCATCCACTGAATATTTTGCAAAACAGTTGTTGGATACAGAGAATGGAAAAATGCCAGTTGATGAATCCACACAAGGTATTACATTGCCAACGAATTTCAGTAAAATCACAGCAGCCACAGATGAATTGATTTACAAAATTTCCCAAATATTCCACAGAATTACAAAATTCATCTGTGGCTCAATGCACTATGTTAGAAGTCAAAATCAACAATGTCAGTACTATCAGTTTCAGTACTCAGAATGAAATACCAGACGAAGGGAGAACATATAAGTCCATCGATACTGTAATGAATTAAGAAGAATTTGGCAGTTATCCAACTGAATTCTTAAATTCACTTGATTTGTGAGGCATGCCACCACTTGAATTTTGAAACTGCAGCTGAGCCAATTGTTATGCCTTGCCAAACTTTTAAAGATGATATTTTGAATAAATTACAAGGAATTTTCCTAATTAAAAGTGTCACATATCAGTTGAAAATCTATCATAACCTGGCTGTCTATTGATGAGCTGAAAAGAAGAAAACATTTATCAAGTGCAACAGGCTGTTAATGAAAATTGTGGAAATACCATTGATTGTATTTATGCTTAACAAATTTGTCATGAATATCACTCTGAGAATTTATCAGAAGATGTGAAAATGAGACAGTTATCTGCCAAATTTTAACCTTTCATGCACACTGACAAAAGCAGAAAAACGATTCCATTGATTTGAAGCAGGAATTGCATGATTTAAGCTTCTTTAAGTGATTGTGAATAGGAATGTGGCTTGGTGCTGTGGGTTTGACCGAAATGCAAAACAAGCAGCTAGCTAGTGGAAACATTTAAATTCCCCAAGACTCAAGAAAGCATGTTGTAATCAGTCAGAAAATATTCAGATAAGGGAATTTATTTCTTTGATTTGAATGAGATTGTACGAAATAATTTGCTCCTTCAGGACAAACACTAAATTAACATTTTTATGGTAATATTTTGCAAAGACTTCATGAAAGTGTGCAATTTAATGGGTAGTATTGGGAGGTTTTCCCCACATTAACACGCAGCTGTATTCTATCCAGTTCTCAAGAACAACATGAGGCTTCTATCTTAACCTACCCTTTTCACTGCATTTTGTTCTATACAGCTTTTTCCTAGACTCAATGGTAAAGAAAAACTGTTAAAGGAAAGCAGTTCAGTAATGTGTTTGAAGTCCAAGAAGTCCAAATGCTGCATGTGTTGCATGCCTCTTCAGTGTTTCCAGAATCTGAAAAATGACCTTCAGGAGAGTGGCATGGAGTTCCATAAAATTTGATCGATGATTTGGTTAACTCTGAAATTAAGATCAAATGTTTGCATTGTTGTTATATTAAATGACCATACACCGTATTAGAAAGATTTATTGCAAAACATTGATCATTTTAAAATAGTCGTCATAAATTTTCTTTTAAGTTGCTTCAAGTCATAAGTTTGCTTTCAGATTAAGCAGCTGGCAAACATGACAATTATGTTAAATAATGCTTTTGCACAAATTGTTTTTAATCATTTTGAATAAGTTTTATTTCTGTCAGTACTGTTCGGATTTGTTAAGTGGTGTATAAACACTATGTTATTTATCTATTTATTACACCTCCTCGAATGAATTTATTTTAGTAGCAGTGGAAGAACATAGTTCTAGTTTTCCTATTTCATGTAAAATATGTGAATAACCTATATTTTATTTTAATTAATTTTTTTAGGATTGCAAATAAAAACCTTCATTTTACTGGAAATTTGGTGAAGTGATTCTTCTTAATATGCTTACAGTATAATAATAAATAACTAAAATACTGGGCTCTATAGAAAATTAAACAAAGATATGTATATACTTTGTGTTCTGTAGCAGTAAAAATGCTGAAATTATTTTGGATTTTAGAAAAATAAGTATTTGAGCTTGCACACAATTAGCAAAAATGATGTTCAATAATTTATATACATAAAATACTGATAGCTTTTGAATATATATGTGTGTTTCAGTTTGTAAATAATATCACTTGAAAATTTAATTTCTAGCTATTGTTGTCTGGATAACTTTCTTGCTGTTGCTGTCTGTTAGCATAGAATTATTGTTAGTACCTTCTGAGACAACTCTTTCACCTTTTTAACCAAAAATTAGTTTTCTTATTAAAGAAATAAGAAATTAAGACAATGTCTTAATTTTTATCTAGTATTTTTGTTTGAAATCAGAAGGGCAGTCTTTCTTAAAATGTGCAAGTGATGTGTAAATATTTATTAAAGAAAACATTAGTGTCAAAATTGTTAATAAAAATCTATAAATATCTTTTCAGGGCCTTTTAGTAGATCAGACAATAGAAAAGGTCTCTTTCTGTGCTCCTGATCGAAATCACGAGAGGGGCTTCTCCTATATTTGTCGTGATGGTACCACTCGTAGATGGATGTGCCATGGTTTTCTGTCTCTAAAAGACTCGGTAATAGGCATTTTTTAAAAATTGTTGCATTATGTAAAACAAATTTTTTATATTGTAATTGCCAATATTTTTCTTTAATTTAGCATGTTTAAAATGTTCAGACGAAAGTAAATATAATTAACACATTGTAGGTAATTGGAAATTTAGAAAATATGTATGTAAATTGTAACTTTTTAAAATACAAATTGTACTTAAATTTACTTCTATTTATTTCTCAAGTTCAGTATAGATAAATATAATGACAAACATTTTAGACTAATTGCTTATAAAACAAAATATGCTGTTGTTGCATTGTAAAATTAGTGTATCAATTTGGCCTTAAGAATAGATATTTTTTCTTTATGGAAAAACCTTCATTGAGATCTGAATAAATCAGCTCATTTGAAATGTTTAAAGTATACCCCTTCCCTTTATAAGATTAATTTATGTGCTGTATTTGACATGCATGCTGTGTTTCATAAGTAGTAAAATAGGATGTATGAAATTTTCTATTTAAAACAGGTATATATGTTTACTGACTTTCATCAAATGTGCTGATGTAATGCAGTGCAGTTATAACTATGATAAATTTAGTTTCTCTTTTAAATCTCATATATTGCCCAAACAATGAAAAAATTGCTTAGATCATTCTGTTAGAAATATGGCATTATTTGCTGTAAACAGAACTGCTAATACTTCTTTTTTAAACATGTAAAAATGCCAATTTGGGGGGATAGACATTTAAATTAATTATTTTGCTTACTAGTATTGCACAGAATATCTAAATTTATAAATTACCTCCCTCCATATGCCTGGGTTCTAGATAGGCTGAGATTTAAGTGAATAATGTCTGGTTGTACTTTGTATATTAATCCTCTCACTGCATACTTTTTTTTAATCAAAATAGGTTCAAAAATTGCATATTTTTATTACATATTTCAAATCTACATATATTTTTGAGTTAAATTATACAAAAATTTTTTGTAAAAGAGTTTCTATATTAGAATTAGATCATAGAAAAAGGTTGTCAGAATACTGAAATTGAAGAATAATGAAATAAAAGGAAAATTTTAAAAATTGATATTGGTTGAATTATGATTTATTTTATAAAATACAAAGGTCAAACATATATACTAATGAAAATATTTGCATAATGTAATATTTTGCACCACTGTCGAACATTTTCAATAGAAACTGAATTTTCAGATTCATCACTATCTGCAGAGTAATCCGAGAAAGTCTCATCAGTTTCGCTATACTATCTTCAATATACTTGAAATCAGAATCAGAACTACTATCTGTGTCGGAAATATCGTCAGGAATAGAGGTTGTATCACTCGCAAAACGCTTCCTGCCAGATATCTTTCAGCTCTGAAAAGCGCGCGCAAAATGCTACATTACACATTCTTGTGTATTTGGCAGAAATGTGGACAACTAATGTCATCTGTTTGCGCACATCTAAATAAACAGTTAAACATCACAGAAAAGCCGAAAGGAAACCTTGAAAGGGGAAAGAGCAGGTTGCAAAGTTAAATAGATGGCAAAAATTCATTCATGCGGAAATCGCGGGTGTCGCAAATTTTGTTACTTTTACGTTGCTTGTGGAAATCGTGGGATGCACTGCGAGAGGGTTAAGATGAAAAACAACTAACAGGCTAAATAAAACAGAAATTATAAGATCATCTTCACTGAGTAAAGAACATACTTACCAAACTAAATTAAAAAGACACTATGGTAATACCAATGGAATTGAATCAAATTTTATTATGGATGTTCTGAAAATTTTTAGAATATTCTAATATCTTTTAGATATGTTAATATCGCAGTATAGTTAATATCAAATAAAAACTATGGAAAATGTACCTATCTGCATTCTCTTGGCTTCTGTTTCCTTTAAGAAAATTTAAATAGTTCTTAATAATTTAAAGACTTTTAATTAATTAAGCAGCCAAGATGACAGATTTTTGTGCATGAGAATTGATTCTTGATTCAAGATGCATAGAAGTATATATCTTGGGTCAATCCATAAATTCGTGTGCATTTTTTGGTAAATTTTTATATAATAAAAAAAACTCAATTTAATCAATTATATATTTTCCTCCATTATCTACAATGTCTCGCCATGTTACAGGCAGCTTTTTTATGCCATTGTTGTAGAAAGACTCTGGTTTTGATGCAAAAAAACTTGAAAGTTCATTGCGTACATCCTGTTTAGCATTTAATTTTTTTCCCCAGTAAAAAAAATTTGTAAGGCACGAAATAAGTCAAAAAATCACTTGGGGCAATATCTGGGGAGTAAGCAGGATGTGGCAAAAGCTCCTAATTAAATTCACTAATTTTTTTGCAGCATTGTTCGAGCCGTATGCGGTCTAGCGTTATCATAATGAAACAACATTTTCTTGATATTCACCCATCGTCTGGGTTTTTTCATTCGATTTTAGACGGTAAAGTTGTTCACTGAACTTCTAATGAATGCTTGATTTGGTTCTAACAGCTCAAAATGTCCTGAACGGGGTTCATCATCAATGCTGCTTTTTCCAACTTAAAATTTTTTAAACCATTTCTGGGCAGTTCTTATGCTAATAGTGTGTTCACCATGTACACTATTATTATCGCTGCAAACCTGACAGATTCACCACACGAAAATAAAAAATGCAGCACAGCACGTTTGTACTGATTATCTATATTCATCTTCTATGGGTACTAAAATGCATTCGATATTTACGAAAGTTGGTGATGAACTGAATAATATGTTAGTCAAACGATGATAAGTTTCAACAGATTCAAAATTGTATTGTTTTAGTAAATGAGGCATAGTGAATTCCACCCATACTCTTAATGCGCACGAACTTATGGACTCACCCGATATATATATATATATATACATATATGTCATTGGTTATTGATTTTATGAATAAAATATGTATTTTTAATACAGCTAAGACTTTAGTCAATGTTATGTATATATTTAAGTGTGTGTGTCATTTTGTTTATTTTAGAAAATTCAGAATATTCATGGTCTCTGAAACCTATCTGATATTGATACTCAAGTTATAAAAAATTGTAAATTTAATATTTTTCAATCTATTAAAAATTTTGTTTATGTAGGGTGAGAGATTAAGTCATGCTGTTGGATGTGCATTTGCTGTCTGTTTGGAAAGGAAGCAGAAGCGAGACAAGGAAGCTGTAACAGTAAACTATGATCCTCAGAATGCAACCTTCACACGCACTGGATCTTTCCGTCAGGGTTCCCTAACTGAAAGGCTACAAGACCCACAGGACTGCAAAGTGGCTGGTAAGCAGATTCACTAAATGATGTACGCTGATTATATATTTGCTTGGAAATAAGAAAATTGGTGTAATATTGTTTTGAAATTTTGTAGAATCTTATAAATAGGTATTTTGATAATCTTATAAATAGGTATTTTGATACATGAAATTTTAAAATGCAAGAAAGGAATATGTCATAATGTTAAAGTAGTTATACTGTTTAAACATTAAATCAACAACATAAATAATTGCCATATGTATATAAAATGCCATTTATTATAATAGCTAGGTCTATGTGAGCAATTTCAATTTAGGCCTGCTTCCACTGTATCTGGCTTTGGCATGCCTAATGGGTGGGAAAATATGAGTCATAACTTAATCTTCAGCTGAGAGGCAAGTTTTTGTGAAATTTGGTCAACTCCTGTACACATATCATTATGTTTGTATAAATTAATACTGTTGTGCATTTTCATCCATTAATTTTTTTCCCCAACTCACAAAGCCTGTCAAATATATAGTCAAATAAGTATTAATAACAAGTTTAAAACTAGGGAAAAGGTGGCATTAGATTGCTGTAGAGATCAAATGAAATTTGTATTGTTTTCATGTGCAGTCAGCCTTAAACTTTTTCTTCGAGATTTTCTTACCACTAATGAATTTCAACACAGTTTACCTTTAATCACAATATGCTTTGATGATACACAGTATGCTTTGATTTATAAGTTTTTAAATTATTTTTTAAAAAAAAGGAATGCCTTTCATTATCCCAATACTGAATAATATCATATTGAAAAATTTTCAGTTCATTCAGTATATTAAACTGAAACATTTCTTTTGAACATTCTGTTAAAGATACTGATTTTTATTCCATGAAACTGAATTTTTTTGTCAAAAGATTTCCATATAAAACACATGTTGGCTAAATATAAAACCATCAGTTGAGTACTTGTGTTAGTTAAGTAAAATACCTTGTTTGCATATGAATAGATCCTGAAGCTTTATTCTTAATTGGTTGAATTTTTATTTTGGGTGTTGATACTTATGATTATTAGAAAATTGAGACATTACTTGTATTGCAAAACTAATATCAGCTTCTGTCAGCAAAAAATGAGATAGCCTGTTAAGGAACAATATAGAAGTTTAATCATCAATTTATTTTCTAAGATTTCACTTTGATTTCCATGGGAATGCAATTTAGTACATTTTAAATAGTATTGCTTATGATTTGTGAGAGTACGCCTAAAGTTTTCTTCAAGTATATTTATGTAGGTATTCTGATGTAAGTATTCTGTTGATAAGATTGAAATTCTCTTCTAGATATTTAGCTTTCCCTAAATTTTTAACATCAGAATTATTGTTTTCTAATTTTGTTCATTTATGTTTCATTAGCAAATTGTTTTAAATCTGTTAACAAAAAACATTTTTTAAATAAGTTAACACAAAGTTGAAATGTATAAAATGCAAAAAATATTTTGTTTACGTGAATTTAAAAAAAAAATTTTTTTGCATAGTTAGGTGCCACAAGTGGTTGGGGGGGAGCTTACTGTAGTACTGAAGGGCCTGGGTTCGAATACCAGAGAAGGCATAGGTGTTTGTAAATGTGTAGTGTCTTTGCAGCATGGGGGCAGTCTAAATATATGGCAAGCCTAAGTCCTCTCGCGAGGTTGGTGGTTGGAGAAGAGGGGTGGGAGACCCTCAGACCTTCGGGTGCTGTCCATCAAAATTGGAGTGGAACTGAGCAAAACTTTACTGTCACCTGTACGGTGCTCAATGGTGTTGCCAACGAGAGGTGTATCTTGCTCTCCTTGCCAAGATGAATTCCGTGTGCTTGTTCTGATGTTACTGTCAGACATGCAAGATAAGTCACAACACAACAAATTTTATTAAGTTAAGTGTAATTTAATAAATGCTAATAACATATTTATTGAAACTGGTTACTTTATTCATGTTCAAAGATCATCTGATTCCATGCTTTCTTTAATGTAAACCTGCTTTAGGAATTGTGTTGTATTTTAAAGCCTAGTTCTATGAAATGAACACTAAGATACCTCATTTTTCAATTTAGATCCACCTCCTGCCAAACAAGTGCACAATCCCTATGCTATAGAAAGGCCTCATGCACCCCCAACTATGTTACAGAGACAAAATTCTTTCCGAGGATTCAGCTCCCTTAATCAAGCATCTCCCTTCAAGAGACAACTTTCCCTTCGAATAGCCGACCTGCCATCCACACAAGAAAGACAGAGGTCGATGTCGGTTGGATCTTCAGACATGATTGCCCATCAAAATGGGATGTCTGGTAAGTGTTTCATCTTTTTGTATAATTTCATTGTTTAAACTAATAATTAGGATTTAATGACATTTTTAATATCCCCAACAGTTACTCCAATCCCAGAATCTTCGCCTTTGATTGAGAGACAGGATACTATTAGTACAATGTGCCAGCAACTTTCCCAAGGATTATCATTTCTTACTAACCACAGTGGTGATCCCTTTGAACCAGATGTATCTCAAGTCCAAAAGATGGATGGTAATTAAAATTTATTTTAATTTGGTGAAAATGTTTGCTATTAACACATTGACTGCCAGTCACTAGAGTTAGATTGATAGTTATTGCCACCCGCATGGAAGTAAATTGCATCCAGATGCCAACATACTTATTATAAGAAATATTCTTTAAAATATTAATAAAAGATAATTATGTGATACCTAAGTATTATTTAAGCCTTTTATTGAAGAATTTTTTAATTACGTGCCAGCGCGTAATTGGCACTACATGTCAAAATTTTTTCCAAATGCCGCATTACGCGCTGGGGCATTGAATGTGAAAAATAAATTAAAATAAGAAAATAAGTGATGGTACGCATCATTTTTGTGTCAATTTGTATTACAGACAATTATACATATTGCAAAGGAATTTATAACAAGAAAATTACAAAGACATTATTTAAAAAGATACATCTAGAATGTTATTTGTGTATTATCTTTGAACAATCTAAGCAGTACCCGGGAGATCCTTCACAAAATTTGCAAACATATATTCTATCTTTATGTTTCCCTTGGGTATAGCAACTTTTGCATTGCTTTCTTAGAATTTTTCCGTCTTTTTCTTCTTCCCGTGTACTCAGCACATGTTCAGATTCAGACTGATCACACACAGGAGCACGAAGAACAGATGGCTGTTTCAGTAATTTTCATATCACGGATAAACGGTAGTCATACAGTGATGTATCTTCATTGGAATACTTATTATAGATAAAGTGGGAATTGTTCATCATTATTTGCAAAATATGCAGAAATATTTTCGTGGGCTACCTAATTGTTTTTCTCTCACAAGGATAATAAGCAAGCATCTAATCTTGCTTATCAATACCAGCCATAAATTTATTATATTGAATTACAGGTAGAGGTTTCGATTTAATTTCACCTCTTTTGTTTGTTATTTCCGCCATATAATTTTTATATTTCATTGGAAATGTAAGTGATGTCATTCTTATTCATTCTTATCCTGCCACTTTGCAATTCATCACACCATTAGTTGCTACAGTTTGCCCTTTCTTTATTTTTTTGTTTACCTCCTTCGGAAATGTATTGCTGTTCTTTCTGATTGTCTCTGTGCAATGAGTATTTGCACCTATCAGCAAGGCATTTTCCCAGTTCATAGCTGTTAATAATTGTCCATAAATATGCTATATCCTACATCCAGCATTGGAAGCTCTCTATTATGATCTGGGATATTTGCAAAGTGCAATGCCCTCAGTAACAACAAAAACTGATTCCGGCTCATATTTTCTGAAAATGCACGTAAACCAAACAGTGAATCTGTTTTCCAGTAATCTTGTATACGGTGGATTCATATAGTTCCCATATGTATGATCAATCTCACAAATACCAAGAGTTCTTCTTTTATGGTGTCCTTCCAAGCATTGATGTAAGAATGTTTCTTTTTTCATTGTGAAAAAGTACTTTATAAGCATAATCATTTGTTTCAGCAACTATTTCTTCCAAGATACCATCAGTGAAAAAATGACGAAAGAAATCTATAGGATTGTTACCTGAAACAGGTTGGAGCAAAGACTTGGATTTTATAAAAGGATATTTCTTCATTGATGTTGAATTGTTTTCCCAAATAACGTTTTCCGCCATAGTTGAATCATCCTGCCAACATGCAGCCTCTTGCATGATTCCTTCATCATCATCAGAATCCTAAATATCATGGGTACCAGTTGTAGGAACAATTTCTTCGTCACTGTCATAATTAAAATCGTTCAGGTACTCATCCGATAGCTCAGCCAACAAATTTGCTATTTCATCATCCGTAAGAGCCTTTTTATATTGAACTTTTCTCTTTTTCGGGCCCAAAGGCGACTGGCTACTGAGAAATCACCCCACATCGCACGCTGGCATGTGATTGGCTCTTTGCTGATAACACAACGTCATGCGCTGGTGCGTGATTGGCAGTCAATGTGTTAAATAAACCTAGCATGGAGTTCACAGATCTAAATCTGAATGCTATATATAGTTTTTATATCTATGAAAAAAAGTCTTTCATTACATGAAGCAAAGCATATATAAACCACTTCCTGAAAGCAATGTACTCCATTAAAGACTTCCTAAAACAAATGTATTGTATACCCTGCACATCTCTACTTGCAGCTAGTTTTTTGTGTTTGTTTGTTTGTTACAGAAATAGCAACTGATGTTATTCACATGAATCCTAAAAAAATTAATGCATGATTAATTTTTATTAAATTACTCCATGTTCATGAAAGATCTTAAATTTATGAAAGCTATTTTTCTGGTAGAAAATCATTCTTAACCAAAAATAAGTTATCTAATATCCCCCCCTCTCTCTCTCTCTCTTTTTTTTTTTTTTTTTTTTGATAAATTAAGTAACTGAATTTCCCCCCTTTATCAAAATGAAGTTTTTTTTTTTTAATCATTGAATTTTTTCATTTTTAGTTTTGAAATTTAAAAGTTTGTTAATAAATAATGATTGAATGATTTTGTGCTGATAGTCTTGACTTATACAGGGTGATTTTAAATTGTTTTTACAAATTATAGGGGTGATAGTACCCATCCGGACGAGCAATAATTACCACAGAACTTAGGGTCGCATTCCACTCTGATAGGCAGGAAAGAGAAAGTAGAAACGCATCGAGGAAGAACAAGGAGTCTATCTCCTAAGACCGTCAAGAATTAATCGTACAAATTTGCACCGAGAAGAAACAACATTTTGCTCTTGGTAATGGAGAAAGCCAATCAGAGCAAATATGGTGTCCTTGAAAATGGCACAACATCATCGCTTCAAGTATTACCTTTCTAACATCATCCAAAACTTTTTGTAAATGCTGTGGCAGAGTATACATACGAGGAATTGGCAGATAGTCACCTCATGTATGGTGAAGCAAAAAGGAATGGATGTGAAGCACAAAAATTGTACATACAACTGTTTCCAGCATGTCGGATTCCAAGCCTTTTCCAGTGTTGATCGAAGACTGCGAGAAACCGGTTCTTTTGCCATTTCAAAAAACAATGCAGGACATTCTTGAAATGCACGAACGCCAGAAATGGAAGAGCGAGTGTCAGCATTTTAAGCACTTTCTGAGAGTTATTCACTAAATAATAAATCTGATTGTGCACTTGTTCATCTCGTTCATTCGCTTTCCCAATACTGTTGTAAGTTCAGGTTGGAATTCTAAGATTTCTCTTTTTGGCCTCTCGGAGTGGAATGCAACCCTATGTTTCTATGGTAATTATTGCTTGTTTGGATGGGTACTATTATCCCTCTTAATTTGTAAAAACAATTTAGAATCATCCTGTATAGGCTTTGTATGAAATTTAGTTATTAGAACTAGATGTTATGCTTCTAAAACAAAATATTTGCATCAAGTTTCTTTATAAATTTTAAGCATTGTTGCTTATATAAAAAAGGGAAGTATAATTTATGATTGAGGAACATATAAATTGTCTGTGATACTATATATTTTAATCAAATTCATTCTCATTTGAACTTATTATATAGATTAATTCAGTATCTGTAATTACTATTTTACATTGAATAAAAACTGAACATAAATGTTTCAGCACCCTACCTTTTAAAGTTGGAATTTTGATTTAAAAAAAAAAAAAAAAAAAAAAAGGTAGGCAGTCTAATTAGATCTAGAGGCATACACAAGTTAAATTTTGTGAAGATTGCACTTATCGTTTTAATTCTGTGGTTGTATAGAGCTTTGAAAAGAGAGCTGAAATGAGCATTGCTGGGAAGCGCGTCAAAGAGTAAGAGTTTTTGCCTGCGATTAAAAAATACTAGATTCTGAATACCGTAGCAGATTTAGCATTACCCTGTGTGTGTGACGGACTTTTGCTCGAATAACATATGGAGCAAGAAACCCAACAGAATCGAAGATTTTGAAGCGGCTTTTAAAACACAGCGTTTTGTTTGGTCATTTGACTGGATGAAATAAATAACGTCTTGAGCATTAAAACAGAAGATATCCTTAATTGTATCCCATTGAAGTCCAAGAATCTTTGAGGGGGAATCACAGTCAGGCAATTTAAAGCTAACAAAGTTGTCACTTGATTTATACAGGTTTCTTACAGTATCTGAATTAGAATTCCATTTGGTCAAAGTCATTGATGCCTTTTTCATTATATCATTGGCTTCATGATATATCTGTATAGCTTCCTCCTCGTATCTGATCCACAAATAAAATCGTCAACATACATGAAGTTTTCTAACATTTCTACAGTTCTGGGATGGATGTCTTCAAATTTCTTTATATGATGCTTAATGCAAGCGCTCAGCAAAAGTGGACTTGATTTTGTTCCAAAAATTACACAACACATCCGATAAACTTGAATTCTCATCAATCCACAAAAATTGCATTGAATCCCGATCTTCAGGTGCTACAGAGATTTGCAAAAACGCCTTCTCAATATCTGATGTAAATGCAATTCGATGAAGTCGAAAATTTATTAAAACTTGCAAAAGTTCAGGAAAAAGATTTGGTCCTTGTAGTAAATTATCATTTAGAGATTCATGATTTTTTTCTTTTGAAGGAGATCATAACCAATGCGAAGTTTTGTAGAATTATGATCTTCACGGATGACAGCACGGTGAGGTATGTAGTAAGTTCGTCTCCCAGATGGAGTACCAAGATCGACCTTTTCTATGATTTCTTCCTTAAACTGATAGTCAATCACTTCTTTATATTGCGCATAAAAGTTCAAGTTTGATTTAAATTGTTCGATCAGATTTAAAAATAGTCTTTCAACATTCTTAAAATTGTCTCTTAAAGTCACATTCTGATCTTTCCATGGAAGTCTAACTTCGTATCTATCACCCTTTTGTGTAATCGAGTTGTTAAATATTTGCAAGGCCATTTTATGTTGCTCTTTGTCAGAAATATTTTTAATTCCTATAGATTCAATATCCCAAAACGATTCGATGCTTTTTAGAAGTTTCTCTTCTACACTTATGTTTAAACACGCATCATGGATTTGAAAGTCTGATGAAGAAAATTTGCCTTGTATACACCACCCAAACAAGGTTTTCATCGCTACGTCATTTCTGTTTATCCTTTTTATTTCTTCGCTTGCTATTTTCCACATACTGTCCGCGCTGATTAAAACGGAAATATGACTCATTCCATCGGCGCTGCCACAGTCTGTCAAAGTGACGCCGAATGCTTGGAGGTTGGATTTGATTTCTACATCTGGTACTCGTATATCGGCATTTGTTATGACTGGTACTTCAATGACTTTATGACTGGTACTTCAATGACTGAGATTTATGCATTTTTCAGGGTCATTAATATTTCGGAGCATAAGTTCAACTTTCTTTCGACACCAGTGCTTCCCGTTCTTTTCACCGAAGGTATGCAAATTTAAAACAGTTTCATCTTTCACTGGTATTTGTGATTAATTTTCTTGATAAATCTTGTCGAATTGCAGAGATTTGGCTACCACCATCAAGAAGACACCTCACAATACAATTCTTATTTCTGCCCTCAGCCCTAGCATACACCGTTTGAAGCATAAAGATCCAGTTTTGGCAGAAGAATTTTGAACAATTTCCGCCGATGTTTCGGTTTCTTTATTTTTTTACACTGGAGACAATGCGGGATTTACACACATACTTTCATGATGTTTACCGCGGCACTTTTTGCAGGAAAACTGTTTGTTATTACAGTTGATAGCTAAATGTTTACATCCAAAACACAGAAAGCATTTTCCTGTACGTTTCAAAATGTTGCGTTTTCTCTTCAGAGTTCACCTCAGTACATTTATATTTCGTATGATCTTCTTTGTCACAAAATATACATTTGTATCCAATTGTTGATAAAGCTGAAGCAGTCGGAACTTTGGTTTATAATTCGGATAAAGCTTTCGTGCGTTGTTCATTTTGACGAAAGTATGGTTTCTGATTCGTTTTCGCAGAGTTCATTAAACTTGCAGCTTCTCGACAGTTAACTTCCTTTTTTTAAGAATTCTATAAGTTCCTTTATATCAAATCCTGCTTCCATATTTCGACTTCGATTAAATTCCAAATTTAATTCCTCTGGAAATTTCTGCAAAATGATAGGACAGAGAATATTTCCATAACTTCCAGAAGTAAACGTTTAACGATCTAAACTTCGAATGTTGACTTTGCATTCATCGTACAGCTTACGCAGTGCTTTAACATTTGAAATGTTTCCCCCACTGGTTCAAGGGATAATAATTTATTCATATGCGAGGTGATAACAACATCTTGTCTTCCAAAACGTTCTTTCAATATTTCTATTGCGGAATCATAATTCTGGTCACTTAAAGCGAAACCGGAAATGGCAGCTAAAGCATTACCGCCAAGTAAGGATTTTAGGTACGCAAATTTTTCAGTTTTTCTCAATCCACTATGATTATGAATTATATTTTCAAACTGGTTCCAAAAGTCCAACCATTTACACAAATCTCCGTAATAAGTTCCGATTTGCAGACGTGGTAACTTCACTGTTTTCGTTTCAACTGGAAGTGTAACGTTAGCCGTTTCGTTCTGATGAACTGTTCTAGAAGATTCCAAATTCTTCTTCAAAAATCGTTGCATTCTTCCTCTCCATATAACAGTTTTATCCTGGTATTCTTGACTTAAGGTAACTTCATTTTCAATCTCCTCAGAAGTTACTTTTGTTTCTATTTCTGAATCTAAACTTTTCAGTTCGTTGATTTTTACAATTAACTATTCATACAAATCCTCGATTATCTCAATTTTCTCATTTAGCAGAATATTATTTGCTAAATTTGTTTCGACTTTGGTTATCAGTTTTGTAGTTAATTGTCTAACAACCGATCGTTTCTTTTTCAAATTTTCAAGAACGCCCTCCATTTTCGAACTAATCAGTCTGTCGATTTTCTGGTTTGTAATAATCCCGGTTTGCAGTCACCATAAACAAAATATGTGTAAGTCTCTAATAAATCAGACTGTATCAAATGTAAAGTAATAAACAGAGGAGCGTTATTCCACACAACGTTTATTGACGAACACCAAAGACGTACTGATACATATACATAAATATGACATCACAGTTTCTTTTTACAAACACTACTGCCATCTATTGGCAATCTAAGGATACATTAGCGTAAACTTAACACTTAGACTTAAAATGTACAAAATTTCACCTTCAGATTTATCACTGAAGGTCCAGCAATAATTAAGGTCATTAATTGTTATTATTGAAATAAAATGCTGTATGTTCTATATTTTCAGTCACATTAAAAATTAGGTAATTTTTAGTGCAGTAGTTTAAATTATCTTAACATAGTATACTTAGATTTTCTATATCATAATCACATTTTTTTTTCTTCTTATTCGGTTAATGAAAATTAACTTAATATGAAACTTCTTTTAATCTTCTATATACACCTTTGATTTTCATACTTTCTGGTTCTGAAATATGGGATGGCTTTTATATTTTCTTCCTCGACATTTATTACTAGTCGCATCTTTAATGACAGTTTTTGAAATAATGCAAGAATTGTAATTGCTTTTAGTATTTTCAAATTGTATATAATACTGCACATCGAATTTCAGCAGGCATAGTTTGAAAGTTAAAAAATACACATACTATTCTTAATTTTTAACCAATTTGTTCCAAAAAATAGTGTAAAATGCAAAATTTGGAAGAAAAAAAACCAGTCATGCTTTGTATTAAGAGAAATATTTAAATGACAAGTTTATTTATAAATCTTTTAAGTTTTTTATATTGACCTTAGAAATAAAGCTAGCACTATTATTATGCAAAATGTTTTTTGCATGTGATAATCTTGAAACATGGGCCCAGACAAAATCCAACTTCACACTTTTCACACTAAATGCAAGGTTCTTTACGTATTTACTTTTCTTCCTCTCCTTTCTTGGATCATCACACAGCATAGTGTCTTTTTTTTTTTTTTTTTTTTTTTTTTGTGTAGGTTTTGTTGGTATATGGCTAGCAAAACAAGGAAAATACAGCCCATGCTAGCATCACTAGAACATTCTGATGAAAAAATTCAAAGCTTTTACCCAAATTCTTCACTATGAAATGAACCTTGTAGCATTATCTATAGTCAAAATACGAGAATTTTACTGCAGAGAGTGGGTGGGATTCATATTGAATACCGGACGAATTCAATACTCAATAATGAATACAATTCAATAATCATTAAAGCAAGGGAGCCATACACAGGGGGTTAATAATGAAATTGTTTTAATGAGTGTTCTTTCATTGTTGTTGTTATTTTGCACACGGGTAAGTTTATTTATTTTTTATTGTTTAAAGTTTCAATAAATGCATAAAATTGCACATATCTCCTGTATAAAATGATAATAATTGAACATATAAAGAATTATTTTTCATTTGTTTTGCCAGGAAGTACACCAGAGTTAATATTAGGAATTCTAACCGTGTGGTTGAGTCTGAAATGTTGATCATCATTAACAAAAGACAATGATGGCAAACCCTAATGATGAATACCTCAAATCAGAAAGAATCATGTTAGCTCATTTATATGCAGTTATAAACCTTCTGATATAAGAATATAAATCTAAAAGAGAGTGTGTTATGGAATAAAATTCCTTTCTCATGTGTACATTATACAGGTTAGGTTAGGTTAGGTTATTTAATTATGACAAAGCCTCAAGGGCTATCTGCCAAAGGGGGAGGGATGCCTTCATTGAGGACTTTCTGAGGGAAACTGGCTTGTCTTTTCACACTACACATGGGGAAAACCACGGAAACACCCATGTAGCCAGCCCGTTTGTGAGATATAAACCCAGTGTTCAGCAACTTTACCGCTCGGCCACTGCTGGGCCCATTATATAGGAAGGGAACTTGATGATATATGGATGGCTATACAGTAATTGTGTACTGAAAAAGTGTTGATCCATAATAATTTTCATTTCATGCTGTGGTTGGTTTTTTCTGTTGAAAATTCCAAGTCAGACAGATCCGAGCTGAAAATTCTGTTCTGTTACACCATTTACTTCCTTGATTTATTAAGTGATTTTTAAGGTCATGAGAGCAATTTGTATAACTATAAATTAAATAAAATAAAAGCAAAATAGGTTTGAGAAAGAAGTAGTGAATTTAAAGTCGAACTAAATATCAATACTTGTGCATGTGGTTGAACCAATTCTAGGCTTAGTATGCTGTTGTCTAACAAGAAGTTTTAATCCTAGTGAAATGGGAAGTTAGAATTTTTAGAATAAAATTTTGTTATTTTAAATAATAAAATTCATGTAAATGATTTTTTAAACATGAAAACATTTCACAGTGTATTAGTCAGAGACAAATATTTTAGATGATTCTTGCTTTGTATAATACATTTCTCTTTTTCAAACCAAATTAGATACACAGGTTTTCTTTATTTTGTGTATTATAGGTTCCTCACGTGCTGAAGAGTGGTTAGCGAGTAGCACAAACATTGTTCGTAAGAATTCCTTGGATAGAGCTATAACTGTTCCATTTTCAACTTCTGCCACACTAGGAATGCCTGCAAATCAAGTTCCAATGGGACTAACATCTAACCTTGCAAAACCTCCTTCTCCCAAAACTATTCAACCACCTATACGACGAGCAAGTCCAAATTTCGCCCACTTACGAAGCAGTTCCCTGGGCTCTGCTGAAAATTTTCTCACTCAGACCAACTGGAAAGCACCCAGTCATATTGGAGGAGATACAAGTACTAATATATTAGACATGCAAAGGACTGAGAAAAAAGAATCTGAGAAATCCGTAAATCCTTACGTGGACCCTTTTAATGTTGAGTGGGTTGAAATAGACAAGAACAGAAAAAGTAGCACAAACCCTTTTGTTGAGAATTCAGTGAAAGCTTTTGAAGTTCATATGTAAATTCATTGCAATAAGATAGTTTATTAAATTGGAGTTGGTAATATTGTATTGCGGGTGCATTTTTTGAAAATCTTTTTTCCATTTACTTCTTCATTAAGTTAATGTGTTCTGCTATTAACATATTTAATGAATTTTTTAAAAGCATGGTAAATTTCCAGAATTTCTTTAATTAAAATAATCTCGGTAGTATTTTTATCGTTGATTGCTTCTTAAGATAATCTTAAGATTTACGTGGGTCTTATTTACCTTTAACTCTATGAGACATTTTATAAATGTTGTTCATAATTACTCTGAGATACTCATTTTTAATTCTGCTTATGTTATATCTTTATACCTTTCTTGCCCTATATTGCCTAATTTAGTATTTATGTAAATTAAAAATTCACTTTTATCTATGTATTTTGGATGAATTCAGATAAAAGCATGCATAGATATATATAATGTGTAATGTGTTTGAAAGAATATGAAATAAACATATTTGTTACCATCTTATTTCACATATCACTTTTTTTTATATTAAATACTGCTGCATAAGTAGCTGTAAAAATACTACTGAGATGCATTTAATTTTCAGAATGTTTATTTTTTATAATATTTATATGCATTAAAATATCTTCATGTCTTTCAAATGTTTCATTGCATAATATTTAATTTCTGTGACATAATTGTGATTCTTCTCTCTCTATATGCAAATGATTAGAAGTTTTAGGTCTAAATGAAAGTAGAATAACAAATAAGTAAACTTCTAGCCTGCTAGACTAGCAAAATACTCTTTAAGCACTTGTGGAGCATACAGTATTGGCATTTTTTTTAGTGTTATGTTTCAGAATTTCAAAATCTGATAATCTTAATCTATTTTTGCAAATGTGCTACTGTTTTTAGATATATATTGAATAACTAATGAAAATTGTACATATTGTATTCAATTTGACTATGATAAATGTCAATTTATCATTCTTATATTTTTCTAAAGACGACCATCACTGTTTGGTATTGTAATTCCTGCATTCTCAACTGTGCACAAAAACTGTTTTGCTCTCCAAATTGTTATCTGACTTTCAACCTATAACTTTGTTACTTCCATTTCATTTTGAAGTTCTCGTGATATTTTATAGAGATGCAATAATTTTTTAACTCTTTTCATTCATCGAGTTCCTTTTGTTTTTTGCACATCTTTTTCATGTTTATTGACTTGCATTTACAGTTTATAAATCATAATGCATTGAAATTTGAATTTAAAAGTTCCCTGTTTTCCTCTACCTACATGAATGTCAATCAAATACTAGATGTAACACCCGGTGCCAGTGTTAAAATGTGATGATAATTTATAAAATATAAAAAATTGCCTGGTAAGAAAAGTATGTGTGCAGTCTTTGGGGACTTGGATCAAAAGCTGAGGCTGTGTTGACTTCAGCACTTGATAAATTGTGAGGTAAAAGTATGCTTTATTTGTTACCAAAATATAAATACAAAAATGTCATTCCATCCTTTTTAGAGGAAAACTGTGTTAGCTGCTATTACCGTGCCTTCTTGTTTAAATAAAAAGAGCCAGTAGACACAGTGTTCCTATTAGAATGAGTTCTTCTTTTGATTAAGTAGTTATTTCTGTGTTTTCATATTGCATGCAAAAATTAGAGGAACCATTGATTATACATGGTGATTAAACAGAATGATTAGTAACGTTCTCTTCTTAGAGAAATTATTTCAATTATACAGCAATTAAGTAACTTATTTTAGTAATATATATGTAAATATTTTCAGCTCCTGTTATGAGTATTTTGATTTTTATCCTGGGAAAAGAAAGGGGTTCAATCAAAAATATTTAAAAATGTGTATTAAGAATCTTTTTAATAATTGTCTTTAAAATTGTGATATATAAATGAGTTTGATTGAAATAGAAATATGACAGGAAAATTATTTTTTATTCTTATTTTATAAAGTCATCGAGCTGTGCGAAAGACATCAGAGTCTTGTATATTCTCTGTAATTTAACATATTTAATTTTATTGTGGGATTTTTTATTCTGCTATTGTCAGCATATAAAATTTGTTTACTCTTGTTTGAGTATGTCTTAGATATGAGTTGTTTATGAGTGTATATACTTCTCTCTGTGACTTGTATCTTTTATGAAAGCACTACAACTAAGTATGCTTGAGAGAATTATTTGTATTCATGCTTTGAGTAAACACTTTTTTAAAGATCTTTTAATGTTCTATCTAGCTTAATCTATGTTTATGAATTCTTTTTACTTTACAAAATTACTCTGCAGACTTTCATTTGAATGGTTACTGCATGACGTTGTGTGAGCATGTATATTTTAATTGTTATTGAACTTGTGAATTCCATTGTCATTCCACTTTTGTGTTTATTATGGACTATAGACTGTTTTGATATGTGGCCAACGACATCGAGCATATTGTTATTCTTTAAATCCTTGCGACCAATCTAATTGCTTGTGAAATTGTTGATGCTTGTAAAAAGGTGTGTAATATAAATGACGTGTATAGTTTTACAAAAATAGCAACGATATATGTAAAAAAAGTGTGTCTAATATTTTTCCTTTACATTCATTTTGATTGCTCACAAAGACTAATAAGATGATGAAAATAGTGTCATTGTGTTTTAAATGCATTATGTAATTACCTTGTAGTTGTCTGTGAAATGTAGTGTACATAACTAGCAATGTCTAAAGCCATATCAACACTCTGTTAGTAATAAGCATTGTGGTTGCTGTATACTTTTAGATCATGTAGCATGTTCTGTTAAATTGTTCATTGATAGAAATAAAACTGTCAACATTTTTTATTGAATGTATAGGGCATCTATTTCATTTCATGGGTAAATAATTTTCAAATGAGATTTGTTAAAGGTATATTTATGTAATTTCTTAAATTAATAAGTTTTATTTTAAGATTTACATCAAAGAAACAACATATTTAATACACATAACCCAGCTTAAGTATGGTTTAGAATGATAATTTCCAATGACATTTGTTTTGTGTGTACATATTTGAATAATTTGTATTACTTTTTTTAATATTATTTTATCTATTTAGCTTGCTATCATGGATAAATATCAAAATTCATGTAATCTGCATACCTTAAATACAGGAATTGTGCAGATTATGGAACTTTATGGATTATACAGCATGTCTGTCAGAATTTTGTTTCCTCCTTCCGAATTTTTAGAAAGTTTTGATTAAGATAAATTTGCGCTTTGCAGCTAAAGATGATGGTTCGGTAAAACCATCGAAACTAGTTCTGTAAAAATTTACAAATACACTGCTCGACATTAAAAATGCAACACCAAGAAGGAGTGGTCAGAAATTTATGCAAATTTTAGAGTAGATGCATGTCACTGAGTTATGCAAGTGATGTGAAATGCACAGCTCTCCGATGCATGTGAAGTAAGATATAAAGGAAGGAATGTGCAGAATGGGCAATATTCGTGTCGTTATTTCTGCCAGATGAATTATCGAAGAAAGTTTCTTTTTGTCCCAGAGGATACGTGTAATAGGAGAGAATGCCAGGCCGGCGACAACGAAGGCACTTCCAGTTGACGATTTTACGAGGGGTATGGTGATCGGACTGAGAACGGCGGGTTGGTCCTTACATCAAATCGCAGCTGATACCTACATGGATGCGAGCACGGTGCATCTGCTATGGCGAACATGGTTGGAACGAGGAAATGTGAGAAGGAGGAGGGGTGCAGGTGCAGCCAGAGTTCGATTCTGCAGCATGTGCAAGGTACCCTGGATGTTTCCGTGTCGACCAGAATCATTTCCCGTCGATTGGTTGAACGTGGCCTGCACTCACGGCGTCCATTAAGAAGACTGCCCTTAACCCCACAGCATAAATAATGCCAACGTTTAGAATGGTGCTGAACTGGAGCGATGTGGATGACAGAATGGCAAAATGTCGTGTTCTCAGATGAGTCAACGCACCTGTATATCCAGTGACAGTCGCCACATACGTGTGTGGCTGCGAAGTGGAGACAGATCTAATCCAGCAGTAACTGTGGAACGCCCCACTGCGCGACAGCATGGCATAATGGTGTTTGGGGCACTATTGCCTATGATTCCAGGTCACCTCTAGTTGGTATTCAGGGCACTATGACGGCCCAACAATATTTGGATAATGTACTGCGGCTGGTGACATTCCGCTACCTTCAGGGGCTGCCTAATACAATTTTTCAGTAGGATAATGCCCGACCACACAGTGCTTGCATCTGCCAACATGCTCTGCAAGGTATACAGATGCTTCCCTGGCCACCGTACTCTCCTGACATGTCCCCCATCGAACATGTGTGGGTTGTGATTGGATGCTGTTTGCAGACTCTGCGCCTGCCGCTTTCAGAAGACGAACTGTGGTAAATGGTTGAAAGGGAATGGAGAGCCATCCCTCAGGACACCATCCGCACTCTTATTGACTTTATGCCTAGACGTGTTTCTTCGTGCATCACTGTCCGTGGTGTTCCTACATCCTACTGAGTTGACGCCGTTCTCGCTCTGTATTCTGACTATAATTTTGAAATAAAGATCACTTATTGCTGCTTGCTGTTTTTATTTATTTATTTATTTATTTATTTTTTCAAAATTTCATCACTTTCTGACCACCCCTTCTTGGTGTTGCATTTTCAACGTCGAGCAGTGTATAATGCTGATTTTTGTTGTTGGACTTCTAAATTAATACTTAGTCAGAGTGTTATTTTATCTTAATTAGCAGATGATACTTTATAGTTTCAGAAATATAGTTGCAGTCAAAAAAAATAATTTTCAAACAGATAATTTTTTTATAGCAAAGCAAAATCATCTAAAAAATATGCGAACAGCCTCTGTAGCCGACCAGTGATGCTCTAGATGTGTTGAGAGGCAGACAAGTCCAGGGAATCATGTGTGCTACATTTCTGCATCAAGTCCATGAGGAATATTAGCATAACAACATAAGTAGTATGTGTGTGGTGTTGACGTATTGTAAAAGGCTCCCAAGACAGCTGTTAGCAATGGCTCTTCCACTGGCTTCACAACCAAAATAACATGAAGCTGAACTGCTTCCAGGAAGACTAAATTGGTACCTCCACCATACAGTATTCCGCTTTGCATTATTATTTCAAGAGAAGGATTGATATGATGTTCCCTGGTAAAGACTCGTAAATGTTTTCTATGTCAGGAAGCTGAAAAATATGCAATTGCAGAAAATACAAACTCAAACCTGGACCTCTCCAAAGACGAGCCAAGTGTGCTACCGTTACACCAAGAAGGCATTCAGAAAGCAGGAAGAAAGTACCTTATATGTTCCTCCTTTTAAAGGGCGACTGGGGATTAGTGGACCCAGTCGCTAAATGCTGGTGCTGTACCTTTTAGTTCGGGTGCCACTGTAGAGTCATTAAGTTTTCTGGAAGCTGAAAAATGTGCAATGCCCTTGCCAGGACCCGAACCTGTACCTCTCGAAATACGTGTCGAGTGTGCTACCATTACACCACGAAGGCATTCAAAAAGGATGAATAAAGTATCTTATAAGTTGTACAAATAATATTCCATGGGAAGTTATTTACACAGAATACTGCTAAAATAATATTTTTGAAAAAATTCAATCATTCCTCCACAAATATAGCATTATGTACTTGCAAAATATTTAAAGCTTACTGTGCAGTACTGAATCATTAGGAAAAAAAAATTCAGTGCTTCGAAAGGCAAGTCAAGATTTTAATAAAGACAGTTTTAAATCACTATTTTAATAAAGTAATCTCCAATATTACGAAGTACATTGCTCATTTCATACTGAAAGCTTGTTTTCTCAGTACATTGGATAAGAGTTGAGCAACAAGAAAGAATACAAAAACTTGCTCTTTTCTTAGCATTAAGAAACAATTTAAACAGGTAGAGATGCAATTCGTCAACCTAACTCAATTTTTAGGTCTTTTTTAATTGAGATTCGGTTATGGATCCAGTAGCAAATGACGAGAGTCACACTTTCCAGAAAATCGAAAACAGCAACCAGGGAAACTCCCAGCCACATACCAACATAACCACCCATAAAGCTGAAAACTTCAATGTCCTGTAAATAAGAATTAATATTCATTGTTGATTTATAAACGCACTTTAACATACATCATAAAGTTAAAGAAAAAGTCTTGTAATATATCAAAATTCGACAAGTCAGTAATTTCTAACAATAGATATGTACTTTCTGCCAAAAAAAAAATTAAGACAGATAAAATTTGTTTTAATTAAACGCATTTGTTCTGGAATTTAGTTGCATTTTTAGAAAGCATTTTAGTCAAAATTAATATTCATGCTTATCCTGAGTTTTTTCCATTATATTCTAACAGTGCAGGCAGTTAAGTGATATTGAATATTGTAGAAAGTGGCATATTTTTAGTTACAACTATGGTATGTTTACCTAGCTGTGACAAAACGTTCATTAATCGTTCAGTTCTATGCAGATGGCTTCACATCTTTCATTACCGCAAGTTACTTAGCACGAAAACGCAAAAACCACGCATTAATAACAGTTTGACTTATTTAGGTACTATCTTGAATATCAAATTGAATTTTTATGAACATTTTAGTTTTATCAGTAAATGAACAGATATGATTTTAAACAAATACAAAAAGAATTTTGGTTCAGACGCCCTTGCTTTGAAAAATTGGGGAGCTTTATAGAAATGTAATTATTCCCATTGCAATGTATGGCTTTAGTCTCTGGGAGGTTAGAGCGAGCGAATTATTAAGATTGTGATTGAAACTAAGTACTATACAGAGAGGCTGGATGCTGTCCATTACTAGACTATTTAGGATTACATCAACGGAGCTTGCCTATTCTGTTTGCTGGCTTTTCGTCCCTCTCATTGCTCTTTCAGTGCTTTAATGACAAATTTTTATTAAGACCTTGTCTCCTGGAAATGAAATTATATGGAGACTCTGTAGTAACAAGAGCCGCCTACGAGACATTAATTGTGGATTTGATTCATCCCATGCATAGAAGACTCTCACAGAAATCCATGAATTTGACATTTACACTAATGGCGCCGAGTTCGAAGAGTGCATAGGTTCGGCTTTTGTTGTCAATTTTTGGGGTGCAGAGATAAATAATACAGAGATTAAATTACAAATTCAGTATTTCAGGCTGAAGTACAGGCCATTCTTCATGCTTTGAGATGAATAGACAGAAATTTGAAAAGTGGACATACAATTTTCGTATACTCTGTTCTTCTGCGCTTTTCCTGTCTGGAGAACTATAATCAAGCCTTCCATGACATTAAGGATTTATACGTAAAATTAAAAGAGCACAATGATATTTTTTTTTCATGAGATAGCTCATATGCTTGCAAAAAAGAGGGCAAACCTCCATTCTATTAAGCTTCTGACATTGCTAACATATAGAAAGACTTTTAGAGATTTTGCCACTCGGGCTTGTGCTGGCAAGCCTTGGAGTGTTGCGGTTGCATCTTTTAGACTATTGACAGGGCATGATATGATAAGAGGGATGCAGCCCGACCCTCCTGGCATAATTTATGTCGGCCAATGGCCTTTTTGCGGGCTGCGCCAGAATTGACAGGGCATGACTATCTACAGAGTCATTTATTTCGCATTGGACTAGCTGATTCGCCTTTTGTGTTTTATGTATTAATGGACGGCGGAACATTTGGACGAGTGTGAAGTGACCGACATATTTTTCTTGTAGATTTCAGCGCTATTGGCAAGGAAGGAGTTTAATGGTCAAATAAACATTCTTTTTTCACGTGTCAAGGCATGCAGAGGTTGTAGGGTCGTTCTCTGTTTTTCCACATAACCTAAATTAGATCCTATATTGAACCTAGCGAATTCTCGCACAGGCGCTAATAAATACCAGCGCAGAAGAAGACACTATTTTGAATTAACTTTATTAATTCAAAATAGTTAACATAAAGGCATGATCTTTGTGCTTTACAACGGCACCGTCAAACTTGCGGTGAAACTAAAAATGTAGAATATAATTCAAGTCAAAATCTAAAATAAATAGTGTTGGATAGCACGTAAGTTAGCCTAACAGGTTGACTCACAAAAACCTAACAGGCGTGATGATAAATCCAAAATGGCCAAGAGGCTGACTAGCGAAACAACAACGAAACGTGCACTGGCTAGCGAAAACGCGCTCCGAGATTCATCCGTTTAAATATGCACTTCACTTAACTTTAAATTTCCATCCTGGCGAGAGAATGTGAGGGGAAGTTGAGAAGTTCAGTAAAGGTATCAAAATTAAAATAAGTTTGTGATGCAAAATAAGGGAAATCCTACAAGGTCTCCAGAGCAATGAAAGGGCGGATTCTTTAGCCAAGGATTTAAATACGTTCACTATTTATTGACGAAAATGAATAGTATTCGGATCTGATAGACGTCAAACAATATTCTAATCTTAGCATTAGTTGTTGAAGTCATACATTATACATGTTTTAATAATTTGAATAAAAATTAGAACAAATGTGCTGATTCCAAGTAATAATAATTACATATTCATTAATATAGTAAAATTATACTTGCAAAGCATAGTGAGGTTCTTGCCCTTCTTCAACAGTAATCTTAATTAATTAGTTAAAAAAATCAGCATCCATCTGGTACTTACTTCATACTGCGGACGATGAGAATAAATGATTATCTCAGGACGTTTTAAGAATATCAAGACGATGGCGAGGTGATCTCTGCAAAAGAATGAAAAGATAGTTATATAGAGATATATGTAATTCATAGAATTTTACATGAATAAAATGCTACTAAAAAATTAAAAATAAATTTTAAGAAGGAAACTGCAAAGCAATTTGGAAGCACCAGGAGGGCAGAATAATTTTTGGAGTCAGTGAGCAAAGTAATATATGTCTTTAACAAAGGGAGGCCCGAGTATTGTCTTTTAAAATGCACTGAGTGTCTGTTTTAAAGCCAGAGTCGTAGCTAGGTTTTTAGCGCCCAGGGGATGACTGAAGATTTCACGCTCCCTCCTGTTTGCCAAGAATGGAAAACATTTCATTCTAAAATATCCTAACATAAATTTAACGCCCTCTGCTGCCTCCGAGCGCAGCATCCAGAGGCAGCATTCAGATGCGCAGCATCCATCCTTGCCCTTCCCTAGCTACACCACTGTTTAAAGCTAAATTAAAACTGAGTTTTGCTATCAATTTAAGTTTAAATTCGCCTTCAGCTTACTCTTTAAAGAGCATTTTGACATTATTGTCAGTCATAATGATGTTTCCGAAAATATTTTATCAAACACTGTTAAACTTTATCGTGACTTTCCTTGTCAATATCTTATTGATAATTGGCAGACTTTCGAAATATACTTTTTTTTCATCTGTTATAGGTTATGTGAATATGGCAAAGTACACGACAGCTATCCACAAAGGGAAGGGATGCCTTCGTGGAGAACTTTCTAAGGCACGCAGGTTTGTATTCACGTTACAAATGAGGAAAATCGCAGAACCCATCAATGCAGCCAGCTTGCTTTTTTTTTTTTTTCTTTTTTTTTTTTCGTGTAACTTGGTTGTGAGAGTCTTTTTCCTTAAACATGCACTAGGAGCAAAAATAATGATCTTTATTGTTTGAGGAATTATTGTAACGGATATAGTTAATTACTAAATTAAGTAAACTGTAAATACATATTTATATGAACAGAAGGATGGATCGTAAGGACTAAAATAAATGCAAAAATAGTTAAAATTTAAATGGTTAAGATAGAAGGATAGTACTAGGATAATAATGTAACACTAAGAATGAAACATGATTTCACACTAGCCATTTGTGATTTCACTAAAATTAATATTAATATTTATTTTTTTTTTTGTATTAATTTTGCAGGTGATTGTCTAAATATAATATTCTCTCATAATTAAAGAATGCACTACTTAGGAGAGACTTTTGATAACAATATAACATGGAAATTACTTATATAGAAAACAATGGGGAAAGCTATAATTGTCTGTGATCAAAACGCTTGGCAGAGTATAATTGGTCTACCAATCATTATTTTTGCTATGATGGTAGCTTTCTTTCATAACGAGCTTAATAAACTTAAATGTATGCAAAATCAAGCATTAAATTTGGTTACTGGGGGCCACTAAGAGCAAAGCGTTTAACACGTGAAGTTTTCTTTATTAGCAGAAAAAAAATCTGATGTGTACACCACATGACTTCCTCATATGGAATATTAAATTAACGCATTTTTTTCTGCATTTCATTAAAAAGTATTTCCTCGAATTTCATTACATATATACTTCTCATTCAATTAATTCAGTTCTCACTTCGTAAGAAGGCAAAAATACATAAAATTTCTAAATAACTTCATTAAAAATTGAAAGACATAGAAAAACATAAAACACCAAATACTGTTAAAACAATTTTTGCAATTAAAATTATACAGTTTGTACGCAAAAACAAGCAATTCGGACAGCAGGAAAGAAGGCACAATTTTCGATGCAGAAAACTGAAAGTTTTCTTTTGGGCCAACTCGGTAAAAAGGCACTGAAGATGCAGAAAGATTTAATTCACTATTCTGCTAAGTTTGAAAGGTGAACAAATGTGGCTGCCATAATGTGTAACGTGCATACAATTGAGTTCTCCTTAGAACGAATTCCACAATGGTATACCTTCCCTTAAACAAATAGCCCTCGTGTGCTTTGCCATAATTAAATAAACCAACAAACCCTTTATTAAGAGTTCAGCTTAATGTATCAATAATTTTTGTTTACAGGCCTTTATTTAAGTTTTCCTTTTTTTGCATTATTAAATTTCACGAAGATATACGTAAAAATTTTGAACTGATTTACTTATAAGATGTTTTATATAAATCTGATGCATTTATGTAAATATAAAGCAGTAATAAAGAGCTTCAATTACATAAAACAGTAACTAATAATAATTTTTCTGCCTCTCTTAAAATATCAAATTTAATTGATTTAGAAAAAGTATATGAATGCGCAAGTGCTCAATGTAGCGCCCTTTCTAGCTCTTTAAACGCGATATTTTAAAATGTTGCTCCTCGAACGGCGAGCTTAAAATCATGATTTAAGTTTTTTAATGTATTGCTAAAACCTCGCAGTTTCTTTAACCTCCTAGCCGTTATAGCTTCTAATTTAACCTTCTATCTTGACCTCCTAACTAATCCTCCTAGCCGTTCACC